CTTCATAACACCCTACTTATCCAAATCATTATTCCCTTTTCAGAAAGTCTCAAGAATCCATCCTAATCATCGATCGGGTGCTGAACGAAATACCCAGCACGCCAGTCAGGCCTGGGTCTCACCCTTTCTACCCCCAGATCCCTGAGATATTGGACTATTCCAAAAATATTGGCATAGCTCAAACTCAGGGGTATCCCTTTTCCAGCCACTGCAAGAAAGGCAGAACTATACAGGCTCCTGACAGCACAGTCCAACGACCCTAAGCCTGGCTCTAGTTCACAAGGGCCGCCAGCTTACAACTCAGATTCCACTTAGGAGATCCTGGTCACTATTTTATCCAGCCTCCAAACGATCAACAACAGGCTGTTGAAAGTGGAATTGGCCATAGCCACACCAGACATTTTGTTAGGCCCGGCAGGTCCTCCCCTGGCGGTCTTGGTCGTACAAACTGGCATACCCCTCATTTCCCCTCCCAACCACCCACTATCACTACTCTATACATCTCACCGGCCCACTCCGTTCCAGCTTCCATTAAGAAGGAAATTCTCAATGGAAAGGACATTAATCTAATGTCACTACTCTTAACTTCCCAAGACATCATAGAGAACAGAGGTTATATTCATGGTGACATTTCAGTAGTCCAAAAAAAGAGTGATCCATGACTTAATGCTTTCCATTCCCCAGTTTGTCATCACCTTTGGCATTTATCGTGACGTTATCTGCACGCTTGAACCAACAAAGGAGGGAAGAGCTTGAATCATACTTACACAAGGTGGTTGACTTAGGTATCAAGTACGGAGGGTCCTCATTTTATGATTTTCATAAATCAGTGTCGGCCAAGACAGCTACCCATCTGTCACAGTTCAACATAAGAATTGATTGGTGCCAGATTGACATAGAACTGTTTTGCCGTCACTTTGCTGGTTTGAGGCCCCTGTCCTGTGCCTCCTGTAGTTCCTCTACTCACTTCACCGACTTGTGCCCTTGCGAGGAAGACAACTCTACTTCTTACCACTCCTTCAACCTACACACTAGACAGGAAGGCGGCAGAGGGACAAGCTGGGCAGACCCATTTCATTCCTGGGCAGGGCACGGGTGTGCAATGACTTTAATGTGGGGGCATGCAGTTTCACTGCATTCAGGGCATTGCACAGCTGCTCCATCTGCTTCAGAGCCCACACGAAGTCCATGTGCCCAGCCCGACTGTCACCTAAGAAACGACTAACCGAGGTTAACATTGACATCCTGGAATACTATCTGCATTCACACCCAGCTAGGCATTTGGTAGATTATCTGGTCACGGGTTTCTCACAGGGGTTTCACATGGGCCTTATCTCCATCCCCACAGGTACACTTGAATGTCCTAACCTATTATCTGCATCCATTGGCCCACTTACGGTGGACCACCTTCTGTTCATGGAAATCGAGGCTGGTTTCATGATCGGCCCTTTCCTGTCTTCACCTTTCTCATCTTGGCATACCAATCCCATAGGGGTAGCCATTCACAAATACTCCAATAAAAAAAACGTTTGATCATAGACCTCTCGGCACCGCACTCTTCCTCCATTCCCAGCATCAACTCCCTCATTCCTGCTGAGGAGTTCTCACTGCAATACGCCAAAATTGACAATGTCATGCAAGCTTTTATTTCAGCTGGTAGTAAGGCATGGTTGAGCAAGACAGACATATCCAATTTCTTTAAATTGCTACCCATTCACCCTTCACTATGGCACTTGCATGGTGTTAAATGGAGGAATAAGTACTTTTTCGCTACCCGGCTCACTTTCGGCTCTAGGAGCAGCCCAAAGTTATTTGACATCTTCACAGAAACCCTCTGCTGGCTGCTCCTAAACATAATCAGGTGTCCATCAGTCATCCACTATCTGGATGATTTTTTGTTGATCTAACACCCAGCAGTATTCATAGCACCACAGCCCTTTTCACGTCACTTGGGGTCCCTCTGTCACCAGGCAAAACTCTCGGTCCCTCTACCAAGCTCGTTTTCTTGGACATAGTATTGTACACCACTACCTTCCAAGCCAGTCTACCACCAGACAAACTGTCTCACATTAGAACAAAATTATCCTGTTCCTGCGGAGATTTGCGTGCACTAGGAAGGAACAGTCCTTATTGGGGTCCCTCAACCTTGCAATGCGTATCATTCCGCAGGGTAGGTCTTTTGTCTCTAGACTACTTAATTTGCTCCACGGGGTGCCTGACTCCTGCCCAATCATTATGGACGGTCTAGCCAGGGCAGATTTACACATGTGGAGTAGATTTTTGGCTGAATGGAATGGGATCTCTTTGTTCATTTCCCCACTTTCAGAGCACTCACCTTCAATTCACACAGATGCAGCAGCACACACAGGGTTCGCAGCCATTTTCGGCAACCACTGGTTTAGGGATGACTGACCCACTGAGACGGATGCCTTGCCGGCCTTTAGAGAGACTTCTACATTGTTTGAGAACTACCCCATCGTGGCGGCCGGCCACAAATGGGGTCATCTCTGGACCGGCAAGGCAGTTAAATGCTACTCTGACAACTCCGCAGCTTGCAATATCATTAACAAAGGATGGTCATCCTCGCTAACCATTATGAGGCTGATTCGCAGGCAGACTTGGCTGGCAGCAACCTCTCAGTTTTATCTAGTCTGCATTCACATTCCTGGTGTTCACAACACAGCCGCTGACGCTCTTTCATGCTCTCAATTTATGGCCCACCACCTACCATCCAGGATACCACCATTCCATGATCTAATCCTGGACTAAGCACAGATTTACACCACGCACAGGCACTCACGCTCCACGCAGTTCACCCAAATACACTAGCACTCACGATAGGGCATTGAATTTTGTAACTAATTCACAAGCAGAGTTTTACTTGAAAGGAAACTTTACAGTAAAACTATGGTGGATTTTGCCTCCTCCTCTCATCGACACCTTAAAGTTACACTATACCAGAAATCTCTACCTTTCCCAGCGTACTACACCGCGTCCTCACAACCTGCCCTAATCACGCACCTTTCTTAAACCTCCTACCCTGACACTCCACTATTATGTCTCCAAGGGCACCCACTCACTATCAGCCAAATTCATTATTTCATGACAGAACCCTACCATCAAGGTTGAGCTACAACCTGACTTCCTTCTCTGGTCACTCATTTCATATAGGCACTACATCATCAACTTCAAGCTCTCACACCCCAGTCTACATCATTAAGTGACTGGGACACAGGAAATCCTCAATTTATTTACGTATATACCTCAACCAGAGAGGAAGCTCCATCAAGCCTTTACTACCCTCACTGTATAACTTGCAATAAAGTGTGTTTATTTTGAATCCTCTTTTGCCCTCTTTTTATTACAGGCCTACTCGTACGTTGGTTTCGGCACACCTCAACCAACTTTGTTTCTCCTTCTACATTCTATTACGTATTAGAAATCGCGAGCACAAGTTGGAAGGCCATTTGGCCTGAATTTGTGGGAGGAATTATGACCCCTATTTAAACTTCTACCCCTACTTACCTTTGCCGTTCAAGTTGTTTGTCCCCACCCACCTACACCCATCTATATTTGCATTTCATCTTTGTGGGCCCTATTTTTATTACAGGTCTACTCGTACGTTGGTTTCGGCAAACCTCAACCAACTTTGCTTCTCCTTCTACATTCCATTTACGTATGTAAATTCCGAGCACAAATATATATATATTTATATATATATATATATATATATAGAAAGGAGATCAGAAACACAAAGCAACGTGGTTGCCAGCTTAGTAGACATTGTGTCCAAATGATTTTGTAAACCCTTGTGTCATAGATAAGTCTGTAGGCATAGGGGACTCTTCATCTCTGCCACATTGAGCCTGTTTTGGGGGTGATGGCCGCTTACTTTGGGCACCTTAGGCCACCAAAAAATGACTTGTCAGTCTTATCCAGCTGGAATTTTCCCTTATGTTGTGCCATGTTTACCAGTACTTGTAAGATTAGTGCCACTAATAATATACTCGATTGCCTACTTACTACCAGATGAGGACAAGAGGATAATGATGGGCTCGGGCAACAGTCTGGCTCCACTGGTCTGGTGTTAAAACAGGCTCTCTGGAGGCAGTGCTCACAAATATCAACGAACAGGAACAGCTCCATTTTTTGGAGCCCCTTACAGGGCCTGACCATAAGTATGCTATGACGAAAGCCACTTCGCCACAGTGGTTTGGAGGGGACTACTTGCCAGCCTTTTACACTGTGACTATGGCCCCTGCAAAAAAACCTGGCTAAAATACTTCAAGCAGGCTCTGTTCGTGCAATTGGGAATATATGGTTCATTTACCGAACAACTGCACAAACAGAGATCAGCTGTGTTTGTTTCTATTCAGCTTAGAAGGGCACTGTTCGGTGAGATCATTTGTCTGGGGGAAGGGAACAAGCTCCAGGGTAAGACTATTGATTCTGTTTTTTAGTTTGTTCGTTTGCTAGACCAGCTGCACGCTCTGATTCTCTGGAACTTTTTTGGGCATGGGACCATGTCTGCGGTCGGTCAAAAAGAGACTTCCAGGAATTTCCTGAACCCCTGCTTCTGGGCGATTTTTAGATATGTTGTTCACCCAGATCAGGGCTATCAGGGGATGTGACATTTATGGGGATATGTTGTGTTTTGGGTGACTTTGCAAAAATTTGTGTTTTTCTGCCTGGAGATAATTGGGTTAATACAGTATCTGACTCAATTATCTCACAGGCAGAGAGGAGGAATTGTATGCTTGTTATGGAAGTGTCGTAGATTTAATTACTGTTTTTTTTCATTTTTTATCTTTTGTCCCTGTGCCCAACAAGGTGCACGTGGGTGTCACCCTTGTTGTGAAACTTGCATAAAAGACCAGTGTGGCTCCATTAAAATTGAGTTCCTGTTTGACTCTCAACACATAGTCTTGTCTCGTGATTGGAGGGGAACTGCTATATTCATGCTGGGGATTTCTATACTATTTATATTCCCCTGGGTTCTAATCACTAGCTTTTCTGTGGGAAAGACCTCTCCTCCAGGAGAGCATAACCGGGCCTGTTATGCTCTCCTGGAGGAGAGGTCTTTCCCACATTGTCCTAGATGTCAGAAGTTGGTCCAGGGTTGAAGGAAGACAGCAAGATTCCAGTGAAGCTACGGCGGTTGTGGAGTCTGCGGTGCTTATGGTGTCCGGTGCTGTGCTTATGTTCCTCGGCGTCAGGTAGGAAGCATCTGTTGGCGGATGTGTCCAGTCAGGGTGCCAGGTGACCTTTCACATATTCCTACAAGGCCCGCCCATAAGCCTTATGCCTTCAAGGCCCACCCATGAGTTTTCTCACAGGAAGTGGAGTGTATGTGTGTAGGGGATGTGTTATGTGTTATTGTAGAGGCTGCAATGTGTGTGTGTTCCTAAGGAATGTAGTGTATAGGGATACCAGTTTGTATAAGGGATGTAGTATGTGTGTATAGGGGATGCAGTGTGTGTTTGTGTGTAAGGAATACATTATGTGTTTGTGTGTGTATGTGTAAGGGATGCAAGGTGTGTATTTCTGTCTATGTATATATGTCATGTAATGCAGTTTGGATTAATATGGGGGCAAAAAAAGCTGCCCCCAAACATCCAGGCAGATCCCTTTTTTGACTCGTGTCCTGGGGGGCTCAAGACCTGGCCGGCTGGCCACTTTTGAGCCCCCCTGATAGGGCAGCGGGCAGTAAGGGAGCATGCTCACCTGAGCTCTTACTGCTCAGCTCCCTCACGCGCCGCTTAATGAAGCCGGGAGTCGGAATATGACGTCAGACCGGCTCCCAACATCACTAAGCGGCGCGCGAGGGAGCTAGGGAGGGAGATTAAAGCTCCATCGCCGACGACTCAACCTGTCCGCCACCTGCCTGCCCACCCAGCAGCCCCATTGGACCACAGGTAAGCAATCCATTCTAGCTCTTCCAAGGGTGGATTTAAAATAAAATTACAAAAATAATAATTTGTGAGTGTTGGTGGAAATGTGTGTGTGTCTGTAAGTGTGTGTGTCTAAGTGAATGTGTGTGTGTGTGCGTGTGTGTGTGAATGTGTCTGTAAATGTGTGTGTGTGTGCGAATGAATGTGTGTCTGTCAGTGAATGTGTGTGTGTCGGTCAGTGAGTGTGTATATGTCGGTCAGTGAGTGCATGCGTCTGTCAGTGAGTTCGTGCGCCTGTCAATGAGAGCGTGCGTCTGTGCATCAGTGTCCGAGTAATAGTGTGTGTCCGAGTAATAGTGTGTGTCTGTCTATCAGTGTGTCAAATCAGTGAGTGTGTGTGTATGTCATTGTTTGCCAGTGTATATGAGAGTGTGTGTCTGTCAGTGAGTGTATGCATCTATCGGTGAGTGTGTGCGTCTGTCAGTGAGTGAGCATCTGTCAGTGAGGCCTTGACAGGAAGGGTGGGAAAAATTTTAATTAGGGGGAGGGGAGCCCGAGCACCGTCCAACTGGTTGATACATTATCCCTGTATCATAACAATCTAAGTTGCTAAGAACTCTAAACAACTTTAAGAGTCTCTGATGGTTTTAGAAAGTTCTATCCTGGGAAAACAACAGTAGGTAGAATGTTTTAATTAAGAGTGCAGCATTGTCATACACTTGTATGTTATATACATCTGAATAGGTGTATACTTATATACATATCATCTGCAATACTTATATAAGTATTGTGGACAAAATATTTTTTTAAGGAATGAAACCAACTGAACAAGAAAAAACTTTTTTCAGTTACTTGTTGCCCCAACCGCAAGTCCACAGGGGAACTAAAGATGTAATACATGATTAAATGTATCCCAGATCCAAATATTGGTGCTGGATTAAAACTATACCTAGAGATCACCAAAGCCGGCCAAACAGTCTGCCCTCATCAGGATCTCAGAATAATCCACCAGATAAATCATGGAAATTGCAAATTGCTAACTGAACTTTATTCACACACAGGAGGCTCCTGCATGCTCTAGAAGGCTATTATCAGATCAGGTGATCAGAAATTCTAGATTCAACAGACTGAACAATAAAGAAACCTAAAATGTTGTGTTTAGGAAGACTGTGGAAGTCACATGTAAAGATGTGTGACTAGGCTGTATAAACAAAGTTATGTAACTCCTAAATGGCATAGAATTGAGCAGTGAAACTGCTTTCTATACACCAAAACTGCTTCATTAAGCTAATGCTCATAGTACCCCTTTAAACCTTTATTGTACAGCCTGATTAATTTCGAATTTCTTATCTCCTGCTTTGTTAATAGACAGTTAGAGTCTACAGGAGTCTGCTGTCTGTGATTAAAGTTCAATTAACAGAGCACAAGATAAAAACTTATAAGGGAAGAACACTGTACTGATTGAAAATGAAACCATTTTTTTATGTTGGCTGTGAGCAACTAGGGCTGCATTAACAGAAACAAAGTGATTTAACCCCTAATTGGCAGTCAGATTGCAGGGGCATGATCTATATATTCTATATGCTAAGATGACTTTGCTAGGATAATGTTGTTTTGGAGCTTAGAGTATCCCTTTAAACATTACATCTTGTGTACTACTGTTCAAGTTATCTATTTCATCAGTTGCCTATCCTATGAGGTAAAACCTAATTATATTTTAAGAAACCATATAAGAGGATATTGCTCAGCCATCTCCACATCTTTCAGGGATAATACGACATCTTTCAGGGATAATTGGTATTGACCATTTACCCCCTTAGCAAGAAGGGGGGATTGTTAAAACGGATTACTTCAAAGAGAAACAAACTGAATCAGGACTGTGGACACTGTAGCTCCTAAAGGCTTGAATGAATAAATTTTTGATGCTTTTTTTTTTTTAATTTTCTATTGACTCAGTTGATTTTCTTTAGCCATGTTTAATTTAGATGATAGTTTAGGGGTTTTTATTTTTCAGTTCTGACTTTTTGTCCATTATATGATTGGTACTATATACCAATGATATTACCTATCTCAAACCTCACCTGTCCTAGCTCTGCAACCTCCTTCTACAATTCTACCCTCTCCTCTCAACTAGACATCATGGCACCTCCTACATTTAAATGCAGAAAGCGCCCCCAACAACAACCTTGGCACACCAAGCTGACTCAATATCTCCAAAAATGCTCCAGAACTGCTGAACGCTGTTGGAGAAAGTCTCACTGTGCATCTGACTTTCTCCACTATAAATTTATGCTACGCTTATACAGCTTGGCTCTTTCCTCTGCAAATACTTCAATACCCTCATAACCACACTCTCCCATGAACCCAAACGACTATTTCACACATTTAACTCCTTTCTTTGCCCTATTGTTCCTCCTCCACCTACTAACTTGACTGCCTCAGACTTTGCAACTCACTTCACTGACAAGATCTCTACAATCAGGGAAGAGATCTCTCATCTTTCTTCTTCAACTTACAATACTTCCCCTAACCTCAAAGAAGACCAACCTTGACCCTAACTCCCTGTCCAACTACCTCCCTTCTTTGCCCTATTGTTCCTCCTCCACCTACTAACTTGACTGCCTCAGACTTTGCAACTCACTTCACTGACAATATCTCTACAATCTCAAAGAAGACCAACCTTGACCCTAAGTCCCTGTCCCACTACCTCCCTTCTTTGCCCTATTGTTCCTCCTCCACCTACTAATTTGACTGCCTCAGACTTTGCAACTCACTTCACTGACAAGATCTCTACAATCAGGGAAGAGATCTCTCACCTTTCTTCTTCCCCTTGCAATACTTCCCCTAACCTCAAAGAAGACCAACCTTGACCCTAACTCCCTGTCCATCTACCGTCCTATCTTTCTACTGCCATTTACATCCAAGATCCTTGAAAGAGTTGTTTATGTGAGATTGACAAACTTCCTCGAGTCGAGTTCTCTGCTAGACCCACTTCAGTCTAGTTTCCGCGCTAAGCACTCTGTGGAAATGGCACAAGTATCCAATGATTTACTCACTGCAAAATCTCGTGGTCACCACTCTATCCTAATTCTCCTTGACCTTTCTGCGACTTTTGATGCTGTTGATAATCAACAGCTTCTTCTCATTCTCCTCAATATCGGTCTACAAGATATTGCTCTCTCCTGGTGCTCTTCCTAGCTCTCCCAGCTCTCTTTTAGTTTTCTTTCTCTGGCTCTGCTTCTTGGTTCAGTCCTTGGTCCCCTACTGTTCTCTATCTATACTGCCTCCCTTGGTAAACTCATTAGCTCTTTAGGCTTCCAATATAATTTCTATGCAGATGCTTATGTTCCTCGGCATCAGCTAGGAAGCATCTGTTGGCAGATGTGTCCAGTCGGGGTGCAAGGTGACATGCAAATCTATCTGTCCTCTCCCGATCTCTCCCCGTCCCTCTTGATTAGTGTCTATTTCTAACTGGATGGCTGCCCACTTCCTTAAACTTAGCTTGACCAAAACTGAAATTCTGGTCTTTCCTTCCTCAAGTGTTGCTACTCCTGTGCCTCCCTCCCTCCAAGTCAACAGTGCTAACATCAGCTCCACCACGCAGGCTTGCTGCCTGGGTGTTCTCTTTGACTCCGACCTCTCCTTCACGCCTCATGTTCAGTCTATCGCCGCTTTCATCTCAAAAACACTGCGCACATCCGACTCTACTTAACGCCAGATGCAACTAAGGTGCTGGTCCATTCCACTGTCTTTTCTCGCCTTGAGTACTGTAATCCGCTTTTCAGTGGTCTTACATGCTCTCAACCCACCATTACAGTCCATAATGAATGCGCCAGCGAGGCTCATGTTCCTGTATGCCCGCACCGTCCATGCATCACCCTTCTGTCAGTCCCTACATTTGCTTCCTGTAAGAAATAGGGCTTAATTTTTAATTTTGGTTCTTGCTTTCAAATCTCTACATAATGCTGCTCTCACTTATCTATCCTCCCAAATACACAAGTATGTCCCGTGTAGGCCCTTACGCTTTGCTGAAGACTTACGTCTATCTTCTATCTGTACTCCCACCTCTGATGCTCGCCTTCCTGACTTCATGAGGGCTGCACCGTTCCTGTGGAACTCACTTCGATGCTCACCCAGTCTCCACTCCTTCAAAAATCATTAAAAACCCACTTCTTCATAAAAGCGTATCAATTAAATTGTTAATA